GGAGGGGAGGGGAGGGGAGGGGAGGGGAGGAGGAAGCAGAGGCTGCCTCTGGGTGCTGACTGTTCCCAAGGTGCTCTGGATGCGGCCGCCTGTCCCCAGACGCCACTCACGGAGGCCCAGGACCGGCTCTGGTTCGGGTGCCCGGCCTGGGAAAGTAGACTTTGTCTCCCCCGCACAGTGGCTGTCAGCCAGGTGCCGCTGGAGTTCAGCGCTCCTAGAGTTTCCCAGGCGCTGGCGGAGGAGGCTGAAGCTCGGGGCCTCCCTCCTGCGCGCCCAAGGCTCAGCCCCGCCCCCCGCGGCTCGCCCCACCCCCAAGACCCCGGGTCGGTGCTTCCGTCCTCCGGCCCTGCCCCAGCCCAGGACCATGGATGAGGCTGGGCCGGCCTCGGCTGCTGCGCACCATGCGGTTGTGGACTCTGCTAGCGCAGGGCGCCCCGCAGGCCCAGCTGTGAGGCCCAGAGAGGTTCCGTTCTTCGCTCAGAATCGCACAGCTTGGAGACAGCAGACAGGGTCGCCCCCCGGGGGGCCTGGCTCTCCGGCGCCACTGTCCTGCCCTCCACAGACAGGGCGGGTCTTTTTTAACCCTATAAACATGTACTCAGCGCCTCTCACATGCCAGGGTTGGGAGCAACCTGGGTAGAATAAGGCACTAATTGCAGAGCTGGAATTGGGAGGCACAATGGAGGATGGGGGACTGGTCTGGGGAAGTCTGAGACCTTATGTTACCTCTGCCACTGACTTGCTGTGTGACCCGGGGCCAGGCCCTTGCCCTCTCTGGGCCTGGGTCCCTGCATCCTAGCATGAGGGACTTGGACTGGATCTCTGCGGGTTGGGGGACCCCAGGCTTGTTCTTCCCTTATTCTGCCTTTGGGTTGCTTTTGAAGGCAGAGTTTGGGAAGAGGGACACCACAGGTTTGTGCTCCCTTGCTGGTAGCTCTGGAGGGGTTTCTGGAGGAGGAGGCCTCCAGCTTGGAGCCTCGAGGGCTCTTTGTCTTTGTAGCTTCCCCTGCCTGGTATCCAGGTCCTCTCCAAAGTTACCACACACGGACGGGTGTAGTGGCACAGGCCTGTGATCCAAGCACTTGGGAGGCTGAGGCAGGAAGATCACCGCGAGTTTGAGCCAGCCTGGGCTACATAGTGAGTTTAAGGCCAACCTGGACTAAATAGCGAAACCCTGTCTCAAGAAACAAAGTTACAAGACCCGGAAGGTCCCTGTTTTAGGAGCTACTGGACTGCAGTGGGCAGACAAACTTGCATGGCTCTCTGGTGGGGTAGGGGGAGGTGGATCTGGGAGGATCCAACAGAGGTCTTCCAGAGCCACTGGTAAGGATTCTGATCCCAGCCAAGCCGCTTCCAAGCTAGGTGACCTTGGGCCAGTTACTTGACCTCTCTGAGCGGAGGTCCAGTGTGCAGTAACAGAGCCGCCTCGCAAGGAGCGTGGCGGCGCGCTCCGGGCGGGATGAATGGAGACCCCACTCCCCCGACCCAGCACAGCCAGGCCTATATTTAGCTCAGGAAGGGGCGGGGTACAGGGACACAAAGCTGGGCCCCGCACCTGCAGCTGGCAAAAAAAAAAAACGCCCAGCAAAGATGCAGACTCCTGGACCACAACTCCCAGGGCTCCTCTCCTGGACTCACGCCCCCCCCGCCCCCCCCCCCCCCCGCGTGCGCCCTGACCGCGTTAGCGGGGAGCCGTCTGTCCGTGGGAGCACGGGACCTTTTGCCCAGCGTCTCCGAGCTGAGAGCCGCGCTGGCTGCGGGCAGCTGCGACGTGGGCGGAAACGGAGGGGGAGCTGAGCCTGGCGGGTGA